ATAACAAGCCCAATGTTAATCTACAAATCAGACTGGGTGAAGGGTGACAATGGAGAGACACAGGAAATCAAGGTCTGATTAGAAAAGACACAGGCGATGCTGCCATTGCCACCATCACCAGAGAATGAGCTAGAGGCTTAAATTACACAGCTCCACACTGGAAATCCAACTCTACCTTTTGGATCCTGGATCTCTCTGACTCCCATAGTTTCATCTGTAAATCAAAGTGTTGTTTTAAAAATCTACTTTATAGAGTTGCTTTGAGGACAAGTGCTAAGAATGAGGCCAGGTACATTTTATATCCAATAAATCTTAATGGTGGATTTTTTTTTCTATGGTGATTATTGCTAAGCCCCTCCATATCTTAAGCCATAACATTACTGTAACATTTTATTTTGGTTTGGATTTTGTTTGTTTGCTTGCTTTTGAGACAGAGTCTCCCTATATGGCCTTAAACTCACGATTCTCACCTGTCACAATCTGCTAAGTGTTGAGACTACAAGGATGTACTGACACATAGCTTCTAGCTTAGTCTCTTAACTTCAAAACTTATGATGCCAACTTGTTCCCAAGAAACTTTTTCAAAGTTGATTCCATAATCCCTTAACACGACAGACATTCCGTGTGCATGCCGGGCACTGACAGCTACACCCTCCTCACCAGGACAGTGTGGCAATGTCTGAAGTTTTGAGCCTCCATAGCTAGAGAGGCACAGAGAGGAGGGTTCCTGTTGCTCAATGGCCACCCAGCCTAGCCTGCTTGGTGAGTGCCAGGTTCAGGGACAGACCCTGCCTCAAAACAACAAACAAACAAGCAAACAAAAAGAGGTAGATAGTGTTTCAAGAAAGACACCTGAGGTTGACTTCTGGCATCTACATGCATGTACACACATGTGCACATGCACCCACACACATTCGCTCTGCATTCGTGTTCATACACACAGACATTTTGATAGACTAGTACAACTTCTGTCCCCTAAATTCTCTAATAACACTGTCAGTCCCTATCTCACAAGGAACAGCCGTAAAGGCACTTGGAGATTGGAACCTGGCTTCTGCAGACCTCCGAGTCAGCCTGTCACCTGAGTCTTCATTGGTAGCTTGAGGGCATTACACACAGCAATCACATACTTCCATCTCTGCTAAAAACAGCCTTCCACCCACCACCCCATTTTACTCTCCTTCACGGCTTATAACAAACCCCATCTCCTCTCTGAAACCAATTTCTCCTCTCACTTGAAGTTCAAGTAGCAAGTTCTGTGAACTTCCCAGTGCCTGGCTGATGTTTCCGTTGCCATGCCTCAGAATCACACAGAGATGTGGCTAGGGTTCTGTGTACGCTTTCATGTCACTACAGCCCTTGTAGAATCTTCACTTATTTCACAAGTCAGGGAAGGAAGCTGTGAGAGTTGTTTGCCTCACCAATGAGCCACACATAGGAAGAGTCACAGCCACATTTGGACCATTCCCAGTGCTTTCCCTCAGGCATGCTCCCTCTCTCAGGTGCCTCAACATCCAGTTGGTTACATCCACATCCATCTAGGTTTGTTCCTCCCGAAGGAGTCCAGAAAATCCTTCTGTTTTAGGAATCAAGAAGCATTCACCTTTCTCCGTTTTAACAAGTTTCTCAAGGGAGTTAAAGTTGACAGATCAGGGAGGGTGCTGGAAAGATGGCTAAGCAGTAAAGAGCGCTTGATGCTCTTGTGCGGGACCCAAGTTCCGTTCCCAGCACCCAACTCACAACCTTCTACAACTCCAGTTCCAGAAGATCCAATACCTTCTTCTGTCCTCTGTGGACATGCAAGTGGTGCACATGCATGCAAGCAAAAGAGTTATACTCCTAAGTCAAAACTACGTAAATCCTCTTGGAAGACAACACATATAAGGCCCTCACGGAGCTGGCACTGGTTGGTTAGTTTGGCTACAGTGCCCGGTGCTAAGAAAAAAGCCTTACACAGAAGTCCTGGTGGGGGCTCATTTCTGAAGAGCAAATGGATTGGGTCAGGAGCTCACAGAGACATAAGCACTCCTCTAGCTCAGCACTCCCCACCATGTGAGCAGTCTGTCCACAGGAGCAGGAGGAGCATGGGCTTCCAGAACGAGGCTGGCTACTCCACCAGCCCCTGCTTAGTTCACACCCGCCACAGCTCTGGACTGCTAGGCTGCTGTCTTCCAGACTTTGCCCATCAGAGAAGTTGACCCACAGGTTCCAGAGCAGGAAAAGTGAATCAAAAGAACCAGTGGGGATCCAGTGAGCGAAACAGCGTCTGAGATGCAGGGTTGGAAACACAGGGAGGTGCTCTTTCATTGCCACCACCTGAATGGTGCTTCCAATCTGTTTACTTATTTCCTTTGTCATATATCCCTAGTGAGAGATCAGCTCTTCTACCCTATGCATTTGGGTCCTATGGGCCTGACCCATAGAAGGTACACAGAAGTCATGCACTAGGTATTGGCTGGGTGACTGCAAATACATGCCTATATGTACATCTCTATATGTGTACATACATGTATGATATTTTCCAGGTTCATCAACAAGTTTGTGTCTATCTCCTCACATAAATATGCGTTGTCGATATGTGCACACGTCTTTGTATCTGTGAAGATGTTTAAGACTAGACTAACAAAGGTAGGTGTTGCCAAAGTGAGGCTCTGCAATGCCACTGAGACCTCTGGCTCACCTGTCTATCACAAACACATACTCCCACCCACAAAGGAATCAGGCAGATGTTTAAAAAGTGAGGAATTTTATAAATGTTCGAGGCAAAAACGTGTTTTAGCTTAACAAAAATAAAATTTCTCAAGTCTTTCCAAACTTTCTGTCTGTTTATTAATTTAATCAATGTGAGCAAGGAGGGAAGCATGGACAAATATGTCTATAAATGTGACAGGCGACATGGTGGGAACTCCTCCAGGCAGGCCAAAAGTGCCCCCTAAAGTGGTAACATATGCAGGAGGTTAGGGTGTATGATAACCACAGATGGACCATGTTCTGGATATACAAGGTACCAGACACTGGGTAATCCTCTTTTCAATTTAAACCATAGCACAACCCTGGGAAGGAGATAGTATTGTCTGCATTTTATAAATAAGAAAGCCAAGATTCCGAGAGTTAAGTAATTTGCTGAAGAGACTGTGCTCTGGGGCTGGCTACAACATAGGCATTGTGCAAATTCTGGACTCTGACTTGAAGTTTAAGTTGTTTTCAATGAAGTAAGTGCTTCTTGAACACTTGTACAGACACTGACTTTGAGGGATGTGTGCGTAGGCACATTTGACAGTATATAGGCATAACTAAGTCATTCTCTGAACACAGAAAGCAAGTCAAAGGATGAAGACCACCCCAAGTTAAAGACAGTAATGAGCAAGCGCATCTCAGAAACCATTCGCCTGTGTTTATCACACTATGAAAGCTTTTGCACTTGGCCAAGTCCTCTCAAAGAAATTCTCTATTTTCTGACAAGGCAGGTGTGTGTGTGTGCGTGTGTGTGTGTGTGTGTGTGTGTGTGTGTGTGTGTATGTGCATGTGTGTGTGTGTGTGTGTGTGTTTTCTAACAAGGCATTATATATATATATATATATATATATATATATATATATATATATAAAATATTCTTTCAAGCCAATGGACATTTCTTAATTCATTTCTGTCCTTTTCTCGAACAGAAAAGTGCCTTCAGTCTGTAAGGAGCCACTGAGTGGTATGTATCCCACCTGCCTTAGAGCCCAAAGTAAATCATCTTTGTGTACTTTGAAGGGGAGTGGAATTATTTTAAAAACGACTGAGACAGAGTGAAGAAGGGGAAGAAAAAGATAGCTCTTCCCTCTAAATCTGAAAGGAAATGTCAGCTGCCTTCATCGAGATTCTGGAAGAACCATTCAACCTCTGCCTTCCCAGAAGTTGGCCTAAGGAGGGAAATTATTTATTTTTAAAGATTTTACTTTAGCTCATAACATCAGTGGGAAAGGTTTCCATTGGCTCTTGCCTGTCTGTCAACTCCTCCCTCAGACCACTATCAGAAGGGGCCAGCAAGGCAACAGCTTGGCGCCAGGGGCTGAGGTGAGAAGGCACTGCCCTGCTGGTCATTCACTGGGTTCGGTTGGTCAGTCGGTTCCCCCACCAGTTCCCCCCAGATGCCGGTAAAGTGCAGGAACCCGTCTTCTGCTCCCCAAAGTAACACCTCCCCCAAGAGAAGGAACTACCAGCTCTGTGTGGTCCCTACTTCAAACCTGGCCTTGGGTTTTGTTTGTTTTCTGATTTCAAGCCTTTCCCTCACATGCATCTCTCAGAAACATTCCTGAGTCTAAACTAAGAAAAAAAGAAAAAAAAAAAGCCAGGAGCTTTGGAACACGAAAGCGGTAAAGATTCTAGCGCCTGCACTTGTCCTAGATAATGAATGACCTTGGGCTAGTAACTTGCTCTACCAAAGAAATTGGTCAGAAGAGAAAAATATGTCATCAAAAAGTTCTTGAAATTTCAACACAAAAATCACGCGGTCCCAGCGCTTAGCAGGTTCTGTGCTCCGGACTCGCTATGGGCATACTGCACAAAGCCACAGGGTGTGGGGGCACAAAGACGTGGATGGATTTCAGGGGTTTCTGACCCGAGGCTTGCCTATCATTCCTGCATGTTTGATCTGCATTACCATTTGCCCCCAGACGCCTCTGAACCTGCTTCTAGCTTACTTCTTAGCACCAAACATCTGCAGAGTCCAAGCAATAAATTCTCTGAAAGTAGCAGAGATTAAGTTGTCCTGGGTCTCCCTTCTCACCAGAGCTGGGCCAATTGCAATAGAAGGCGGACTTGGGGATAATAACACGTCTTTGCTTACGCAAAGGTGCCTGATACATCTCTTGGTGTAAGGGATGGGACAGAGACCCTGACTTCAGTCTCTAGGTTGGGCATGGCACAGAGGGAGCAGGACAGGGAAGCCTCACAGACTGTCCTCTGCACACTACCAGGAAGGGATGCTGGAGGGAGCAGCGGCCAGCAGTTGGTACCTGAAGAGCCTGGCAGCGGTCTGGTTCCTCCTCCAAGTCATGCGCTGTGCCAGCACCCCTTGAACGATCTCCTTCTCGTTGGGTAGCCGGTAGACAGGGAAGACGTAGAGCCAACAGAGGACCACTACACAGAGGGCACTGGCTCCCACGGGCAGCCGGGTACGCGGGAACTTCCATGCCAGCATGGCCATGGCCCCTCTGGACGTGTGTCGCCGGGCCCGCCCGCAGGGGCTCATCACAGCCTCGGCATCCAGGGTCGGTCGTGGGAGCCTCAGCACAATGCCAGGCGAAGTGGCAGGAGAGGGTGCCTCCACGGCCGGCCCCCCATGCACACACACCTTTGGCTTTCTTGCATGCACACGCACGGCTGGGGGACCCCCACCACGGCCCCAGAGGTCAGCTACAAGGATCTTCGCCAATGCAACTTTTCCCACGGATTTCTTGCTAGAGGAAGTGGCCTCCGGGCAAGTCACGAGCCATGGTCCCTTTCCCTGCAGAGGTAGGCGACGGAGGGGTTTGGGTGAGAGCAGCGGGGGGCCAGCTGCTGCCGCCCTTACTACAGCATCACAGCTGCCCTCCGCTGGGGTCGTGGAAGAGGTGCGGCTGGCTCCTGGACATCTGACCCTCTGTGTCCCTTCCAGATAAAGATGCTCCTGCGCCCTGCACCGCCCTTTCCCCCGCCTCCTGCGCCGCCGCGGTGCCCGGCACCCCCCAAGACGTGCTCTCTCCGCCGCGCCAAGTCCTTGGAAATTTCCACCGCGGCCCGGGACCGCTAGCCCGCCCCCGGCGCCTCTGCCATGCCCGCCGGGACCCTCGCTCCGCTCCCCTCCCAGGCAAGCTGAGAACTCGCTCTCATCAGTTCATTCAGCGGTGCGCCGCAGCCTTCCGCTGCGCCCTGGACTCCGCAGACACGCGCCCCGGGATTGGTGGAAATCAAGGTCTCCTCCACCCTCCCCCACCCGCGAAATTGCCTCCTTCGACCCGCTGGGGGCTGCAACACTAGCCCAGGGCGCAGGCCCCTCGCCGCTGCCCTTGTTCTCTGCAGAGAAAGGCAGACAATAAGAACAACGGCCCCTCTGGTGCATGCATGCACACGCACATTTATCTGTCCCTGAGTGTGCACCGACTGGGGGCCCGCACCCTGTGTACCCGGGCTGCTGTCACCCTCGCCTTTCTGCAACTGATTGGTTATAAACGAGCAGCGAGGAGGTTGGAGATGATTTATTCCTTCCTGAGCTTCCTTATCCAGATCAGCCCGTCCGCGAGCTATGATTCCAAGCACGCACGCGCCGCGCACACACACACACACACACACACACACACACACACACACACACACACACACACACACACACACTGATGCTGGTGGGCATGAGGGGAGGTGCATGCACACCGGGTCAGACACCTCGTCTCCACCCTGCAGAAAGCAGAGCTGTGTCCACATATATATGGTTGGTGTCCCAACCAGCAGACCTTGGGGGAGATAGCGCCTCCTCTGCCACTATAGCTAAAAAAAAAAAATTGTTTATTCTTAAAGGGCTGTGATGATAAGCTTATCACAACTGCGACCTTGGAAAAGTGCCACCCGCCTGGACCCGCCTAGTGGAGGGACTCGCTGTAAGCCATTTCTGCGTGCCCAGGCAGAAGACAGAAAAGCTCGGGTACCTCCTAGCGGCTGCCTATTCTATTTGGTTAAGCATCCTATACAAGGACAAAGAAGAAAGTCTGCATCCTCCAAAACCAGCCAGCTTAGTCATCACCCAGCCAAAATCTCAGACCACAGTTCCATTTGTTCAGCCATGAACGGCACTCCAGACGGTCCATACTGACTAGTGTGTGCCCTGCAGTGTTTTTCTAGCACCTTCCAGCACAGAGAAGTGAAACTAGAGATGTTGGGGCAGTTGCTTACCAAAGACGGATGGCTGTCATTCTACCAACATCACTATGCTTTTCTTAGGAGGACCACTCAATGCCCCCATGGGCCGGCAGCCCCCATAGTGGAACCTAACACCGATTAGTTAAAATAAAGATTACCCTTGCTGCTGGAGAGAGGCTTGCTGATCTTGTGGAGGACCTGTGTCAGTTCCCAATACTCAGTGCAGGCAGCTTACAGCTTTAAATCCAGTTCTGGGAGATTTTTCACACTCTGGGGCACCTGTATACATACACATACCTCCACATAGTTACAGACACATAATTTAAAAATAAAATAAATCTTAAAATAAAATGAAGATCCCTCCCACCCCAAACCTACTCCATTCTAGGAAGGAAGACAGGATGGGGACCTGTTTCCCACCTTTCAAGGGCTATAGACACATCATCTACCACTTTCCCCCCCTATAATTTAAACAAAGCCCAAATGATCCCAATTTCTCTTCCTCCAGCTCTCCACATAGCTGAAGAGTAAATGAAATAGCAACAAGCAAAGGGCCATCGAGGTGGCGTGAGGCCCCCAGACTGCATCGCATTCAGTACTGCATCGCATTCAGTGCTGCATTGCATGTGAGCCCACTGTGCCGCTGTCATCTCACTCCTTGCTCCCTCTCTTCCTACCCGTGGTCCGGTTTTCTCTGATTTTACCCCCTGGTTCTCAGCAGCATTAACAATGACTTCAATGGAGTTTCCTTTACTTCTCCGAGTCTTCAGTGTGTCATGTCTGGCAGCCTGTAGTGACCACGTGTTTTTGTTCCCTCCATACAAATCTACTGACTCATCTAAAGTCAAGTGGCCATTAGATTTTCCCTCAACGACGTGGTGGTCCCAGACCACCTAAAACACCAGCTTTTAAGCCAGCAAGATGGTTCAATGGGTGAAAGTATTTGCATCCAAGCCCAAAGACTGGAGTTCTGTCCCTAGAACCCATCACAGACGGAGAGAGTTGATGGCTGAAATGTGTCCTCTGACCTCCTCATTCATGCAAAGGCAGGCTCACACTCACATATTCAGACACACATACAAATAATAATGACAACAAAATGAAATAAAAATAAAGCAGAATTTGTAGTATGCATGCTCAATAAGTATTTGTGATTCCTGTTCCCATTTCCTTTGACCCGCTCTGGATACATCTAGAATTTTCTGATTCTGGTAAATGATTAGGCTCTCGGGTGAGTTTTTCTGTTGTAAGCATTTTCCACACAGAACTCTTCCTCGGCCACTGGGTAGTAAGGCAGTTTGGCCTGCATTTGAACTCCCCAAGCTGTGTTTACGTGATTAGGGGAGAGCAGGCATGATAGTTTTATTCTTCATGCTTGCCCAACTGCCAGTTCAAGCCTAGTCCCAGGCCAGTGCAAGAAACAACTGTTTCTTGGTTCTACAAAATGTCCGGCCTCAAAGTTACTTGGGTCATTGCTAACTCAGCACCATTTTAAGGCAAAAAAGTATAAACTCCTGCGTCTTAGTGTTTTAAGTTAAATATCTTACCTGACATCCGGGAACTTTATTTAAATGGCTTTCAGCAAGGGGTTTAGAATTCCGTTGTTGTCTACATCTGAGTGCATAAAGAGCACATGCAGGCTTGCTCAATGGCTAAGAGCCATTTTAAACTCTGTAAATGTCCCTGAGACTGAGCCCTAGCTCAGTGTCAGGCTAGCCTAGCCCTAATCCCACCTGTTACTCATTAGCTATATGTGCTCATCTATTCATCTGAGTCCTGAGCTGTGCCTCTCACCCCTAAAATAACACTTGTTTCATGAATCTGTATGTTGGTTACCAGGTGACAGAACACCCAACTCAAGCCACTTAGAAGAGGAAGGACTGATGCTAGCTTGTGGACAGAGGGGGTTTGGTCTCCAGGGGCTGGCTCTGTTGTTCCCAGGTAAGGTGGAACATCATGGTGGCGTCTCACAAAGACCTACTTCCTTTAAATACGTCCCACTTCCTGGCTTTCACTTCCTCCCAATAATGCTATTACGAATTCATGAAAAAAAAAAAATTAAGCCACTAATTAAGTTAGAGCCCTTGTGATCTAATAGCCTGGAAATGTCATCACAGACGCACAAAGCATGCTTCACCGATGCCCTAGGCATTCCTTGATGCAACGAACTTGACAATGAAGACGAACCATTTTATTACGAGCACATAAATGACAACCTGCAGCAAAGCAGGCCACCATTTTACCAGTGCCCCAGTCCTTGAGTCGTTTGCTCTGTTTTATTGTACGTGCAGGTTTATGTGCATGTGTTCACACGTGTGTGTAGAGAGCCAAGGGCAACCACCACTGTAACTCCTCAGGCGACACTCACTGTGTTTGGGGGGTACAGTGGCTGTCACAGGCCTAGAACTTGACAACAGGCTTGGAAGGCTGCCCAGGGACCCCAAGGGGTCTGCATGTCTCCACCCCCCCAGCTTTGCTACTACCATAGGGAGCCACCACACCCACCCTGGCTTGTTTGGTTTAACGTAATGACCTCCACTTTCATTCACATTGCCAAACATGACAGGGTTTCACTCCTTCAATGGCTGAGTAGGACTCCGTTGTTTTATGTACCACATTTTCTGCACCCATCAGTTGATGAACACTTGGGAGGTTTCCATTTCTCAACTGCTATGAGTAGCATTGCCGTTATCAAGAGAGTATAGGTTCCCTTTGATATTTAATCACTAAAGCTCAGGGAGGAGTCTGGTCCCGTGGGATTAAAGCACATATTTAATGGGGAAAGTAAAAGAAACATGACAGCCAGCGCATGGCCAGGCTGTGCCTAGTTAGGATCTGATGTGGGGAAATGGCCACCATACAGGCTAGCTCCAGCTGCTGATGGACGACGGAATGGGGGTGGGGGTGAAGGGGAGTGTTAGCCGGTGCTAGTTCATTCACTTGTTAAGCAGGTAGACGATGACAGGCCTGATATCCAACGGGAATCCATGGCTGTACACTAACTGAACGTGGTACAGTCTGGGGTGACAGGGTTTATTAGATACTAAGAACGAAGCTGCTGCAGGGTAAATACCAGATCAAAACCAAACCTTTCAGGTCTGACAACTTCAGGAGTCAGACCTCACTTGCCACCTCATTGGAGATAGCCTCTTGTCCACCACTGAGTACGAGCAGACTAGCAGACACTTGAACTTCTGGGATCCCCCTGTCTCCACCTCCCATAGTGCCATGGGAACCCTGGGATCACACGTGTGTGCCATCATCACCCCCATTTTGTGCACTGTGAGGATCCGAATTGAGGTCATTAGGCTTGCAGAGCAAGCATTTTATCCTTTAGGGCATCTCCCCAGCCCTTAGGTGAAGAATCTTTAGAAAAACAATCAGAGAAAAAGCCGTGGTGACCTGGGACAAGAGATGAGGAAGAGAGAAACACAGGGAAATTTTCGGTCAAAGCATGACTAAGTCCACAGAACTAATACAGCACCAGGACTATAATGAATAGAATTGTATTAGAGATTATTGCGAAATAAGTTGATTTTAACGGCTCATCACCAAAGAGGGCAGCTAAACATGATGGTATGTTGCTTTGCTTCATTATATGACCCATTTACCTTCTATGTGTATCCCATAACATCGTGTTATAAGTCTCAAATATAGATAATAAAATGTATTTAAAGATAATAAAAATTGTAATTAAAACCAGAAATACAGTAGGTGTGTGCTAATTCTCAACAGCTTGCTTCACAGCCATACTCTTTGTCCTGTGGGGCAAAATTAGTGAGTAGTTCCTATAAACTGGCTTGTTCATTGTGGCCCAAATCAATCTGTGAAGGCCCCATCATGGCAGTCATAAGGGAAACCCAACAGACCAAGAGAGTGGCTGCTGACACAGCCGTGGTTAGGTCAACTTCTTCTTTTCTGTCCCAATCTTAGAAGACATTCAGGAAAAGTGTCCTTTTGCATGGGAAGGATGGATAGACATTGGCATCACTTTCTCTATGAGGTTGTTGAATTCTACAGTATATTCCAACAATGTGATGAATTAAATTTTCGATTCAATCACAGTCAAATGAAAGTTGAGGGGCTGGAGAGATGGCTCAGTGGTTAAGAGTGAGTACTGCTCTTGCAGAGGATCCAAGTTCAAGTCCCAGCACCCATGTCAGGTAGCTCACAACCTCTTATAACTGCAGCTCCAGGAGAATTAGACACCTCTGACCTCTGCAGACAGCTACATTAGTGCACATACCACATGCACACACAATTAAAAATAAAATAACTACTATAAAATGCAAGTTGATTGTGGTATTGATGAACACAGGAGCCTCCCTCTCAGAGAAGGAAGCCCACACAGATTTGAGAACAGTACTGACTGACCCTAAGGAGGGCAGACCCATGTAGCTAACATGCAGTTCACTTAGCTACAAATCTGGTGTGACACTGGTTTTCCTCATCACCTTGATGAGATTTGGAATCAAGCAGGAGACCCATGGGCATGGCTGTGAACATATTTCTGGAGAGGTCTATCCAAGAGGGAAGACCCACCCTGAACGTGTGCAGCACCCTCCGTGGCCTCCTGGACTGAACGAAAAGAAGAAAGCGAGCTGAGCACTAGCCTCATCCCTCTGCTTCCGGGCTGTGGAAGCAGTGTGACCCACCATCTCAAGCTTCTGCCACTGTGCCCTCCCCACCATGACGGACTGCACTCTGGAACTGTGAACCAAAGAAAACACTCTCTTCTGTCAGCTGTTTGTCTGGTATTCTGTTACATCAACAAGAAAAGTAACTGGCATAGATGGTACCCCAACACAGGGACTGACTCTGAAGGTCTCGCAGATGGTGGTACCCCCAAACAGAGAGTCTGGGTTGGCCTAGCACACAGGTGACTTTGGGGGCTTTGTTTCTAGACACTAAAGCCTGGGGCTGAAGTCTTTAGCATGGTCCTTCCTACGCCAATGCTTCTAGAAGACTGGCTGTGATGTTACCTGATGCCAAAAGGTAACACTTTTGAGGGACTCTTAGTAGAATGTAGTGGAGGGTTGTTTCTGACTGTAGATACCATGTAAAAAGACACACACACACACACACACACACACACTCATACACACACACACACACACACACACACATACACACACACACACACACACACACACATACACACACACACACACACACACACACACGAGCTTCCTTTAGATGTTCTTGTCAGGTAACCAAATTGTCTCAATGACCATTGATAAACCACTGATATTTTGTTCCTGGAGTATAAAAAAAAGCATAATTATGGAAATTTTTACAGCTTAATCAAACTCAGCTCAGGTTTTGTAGCTGCCCCAAACACAATTCTTGAGTTTTACCCAAACCACAAATACACAGCAGCATTTATTGGGCCTGGTGACCAGCACTGGCCTCCCTGGGTCACAGAGGTGCCTGAGTCTTGACCGTGGGGGTTGGTGGGTGGGGATGATTCCCTAGGCCGGGCCCTGTGATAGGAAAAACCTGTTCAGCCACAAGACAGTTGAAGGGACTGCTGCAGATTTGACTGAAGGCTGGAAAGGGACAGCTGTGTGCCAACTGGGGATGCTGGCTGTCCCAGAACTGAAAGAAGACAAGCCGAGGGCTGTGGATGGACCTTGGCACACAGATTACAGAATCTAACAGTGTCCATGTGTAAGAGAGGGTTAGGCCACATGGATACATTGTGGGGAAATCATGGTTTAAACCATGGCAGGGGACTGCTGGTGGGTATCTTCTTCATATTGGTTCTATCATGCCCATAAAGACACAAATTAAAAAGATACATCTATTCTCCAAGGCACAAATTGGTTATGGTAGATTAGCAATCTTACCTTTCAGAGGAGTATGCCTTTAGTTCAGACCTGCTGAGTAGACTTGAGCTCTGAGAAACACTGACATGAATTTCATGTCACAAGGCTGCACTGCCTCAGTTTCTGCCAACGAACTAAAGGAAGACTCCAGGGCTGTGGTGGTTGATCTGACGTCAGCTTAACGCGGTCTAGAATCACAGAGACAAACGGGTGCTCAGTATTGGTCGTCAACCTGACAAGATCTACAATCACCTAAGAGACAAAGATCTGAGAATGTCTGGGAGGGAGTTTCTAGATTGGGATGACTGGTGTGGGAGGTGGGTGGCCCTATTCTATGGGCTGGAGTCCTGGACTAAATAAAAGGGAGGAAATCGCTAAGTACAGGCACTCATCTCGCTCTGTCTCCTGACTGCAGACGCAGCGTGGCCAGCTTCCTCATACTTCTCCCACCATGACAGACTGTGTCCTCAAACCATGAGCCACCCCTTCCCTTCCCTACAATGCTTCTCACTGGGCATTTGGTCAGAGAAATGAGAAAAAGTAACTAATGTGAGGTCTTTAATCCAGTGCTGATATTTTCAAGTATAGCATATTATACAGAATAAAAATTTCACTAGCCAAGCATCTGTTTGGAACCATCAGGTTTTGTGTGTGTATGTACATGTTCATGTGCATGTATGTACAGACACGTGTGTGTGGATGTGTACATAAGTGTAGAGGCCAGAGGTGTCTTTCTCAATTTCTCTCCACCTTTGTTTTTTGAGACAGATCTCTCACCGAACCTATAGATCACCAGTTTGTTTCGATGACTGGCCAGCGAGCTCAGGTTCCTCCTGTGTTTACCTCCGCAGAGGTAGGAGTATAGGCACATGCCACTGTACCTAGTTGTTACATTGGTGTTCAGAAGTGGACTCAGATCCCACCGTTTAGACTGAAGCGCTTTACTAACTGAGGCATTGCCCTGCCCCCTGCTGTAGTTTTCTATGTATATATTAGTGTTTTAGCCCCAAACACGACAATATAAATTGTTCAGTTTTTTTTTTATCGATTTACATTTTATGGGGATGGATGTTTTGGCTGTAGGTGTATCTGTGCATCATGTTAGTGCCTGGTGCCACAAAAGCCAGGAGAGACTGTCAAATAATCTCAAACAGAATGCAGACAATTGTGAACCACCATATAAGTGCTAGGAATCAAACACAGGTCCCCTGAAGAGCAGCTAGCACTCTGAACCATCTCACCAGACCCCTAATGAAGAATTCTTTGAGACAGGTCTCACTACATAGGCAGAACAGTCTTGATCTTGCGGTCATCTCAGCTCAGTCTTCTAAGTGCTGGGATTACAAGTATGCACCCACCACCACAGCCTGCTCAAGTGTCCAGACCTAACACAGCCATGTGAAGCCACCACCAAGATAAGTGCTGGGGTTACAAGTGTGTGCCACCACAGCCTGCTCAAGTGTCCAGACCTAACACAGCCACGTGAAGCCACCATGCAGATGGCTCTGTTTTTTCAGTCTTCTTCTTATTGTTCCAATAAATGGCTTTTTTCTGTCCCTCTTCATTGGTGGTTTCAATAAATATTACAGTTGGTGACTTCAATAAATATTACAGTATACTCTATTCTATCCTCTCCATTAGAATGTCATTTATGTGACATGAAAACACAAGATTGAAATACAGAATCTTAACTAGTCTGTTTACCTTCAAATAACACCGTGTGTTTCTCCATGTGTACAGTGAGGATCTTATGGTGTGGGGAGGGGCTTCAGGTGCTGCTCCCTGATCCTGTCATCTTGCTAGTATTTAACTCATTTATCTGTATGTCAGAATCTTCCTATATGTTGTTAGGATTACTATAACTTTAAATGGTTAACTTTTAGATGAATTTCAGAATCAAGAACTAGAAACTATTTTATCATGCCATCCTAGTTTCTACTTGGCATTATTTCCTTCTCTTGGGAGGACTCCTCTTTTCTCAGAGTCATATTGCTGATAATAAATTACTTCTGGTTCTTCTGGATGCAGACTTTATCCTTTGCTAATTAAGGTTCACTTCACTGGATAAAGAATCCTAGGTTTGAGTCAGCCGTGGTCATGCATATGTTTTATCCCAAGCAGTTGGGAGGTAGAGGAAGGTGGATCTCTGAATTCAAGGCTAGCCTGGTCTACAGAGTGAGTTCCAGGATAGCCAGAGCTACACAGAGAAAGCTTGTCTCAAAAAACTAAAAAAGAAAAAAAAAAACTTTTAAAAAGAATATCAGAGGCTGGAGAATGGTTCAGAGGTTAGAGCACTGGCTGCTCTTCCAGAACATCCAGGTTCAATGCTCAGCACCCAGTGGCCACCTCACAACTGTCTTTAGCTCCTGTTTCAGAGTATCCAACACCCTTTTCTGGCCTTCTCAGGCAAAGTACCCATACACGTCAAAACAAATAAGTAAACAAACAGATAAATATAGATGTGTGATTGGGAAAGGTGGGAAGAGAAAGGGGTCAATGGGGATGGAATGAGAGAGGGATAAGTATGAAAAAAATGTATTATATATACATGAAAATCCACAACAAACAATCTGGTTATTATGTATAATTAACATATGCTAATAAAATATATGCAAATCACATAACTGAGACAGGGGTTAGTTAGTTCTCTAAGTTGGAAGTGGGATATGGATGATGGGGTTAAAGGGAAGACCAGGGTTAAGGTAGCCAAATCGGGAGTGCCAGGCCAGTGACAGGAGGCATGCTGTAGCCGGAAGACCTGAGGAACATAAGCAGGGCACTGCTGGCCCTTCTGGCTTCTGATGCAGTTAATTGCAAATGATTAAGTAAAGCTTCTATGAAAGCCCCCACCTATTTCAGGACAGAGGTCCCACACCATCCTGTAGATAAAGAGTCGGTCAGGAACAGCTGGTAGCCAAGATAGACAAACAAAGAGCATAGTAAGTTATCAGCTCCAGAGACATCTGCGAGGCTGGAGGTGACTGCACCGGCCAGTGAGTGACATCAACAGTCACACCCAACAGCCGACAGCAGGAGTCAGGGACAAGCAGGGAGCCTCCCGGGTCACCCTGTTCAGTTTTCTTCTTGAACCTTCAACTTGAGGAGGTCAGAGTGGATTTCTGCTAACATACTCTGAGTCACATCAGCTTGAGGAGGTCAGAGTGGATTTCTGCTAACATACTCTGAGTCACATCACTTGAGGAGGTCAGAGTGGATTTCTGCTAACATACTCTGAGTCACATCACTTGAGGAGGTCAGAGTGGATTTCTGCTAACATACTCTGAGTCACATCACTTGAGGAAAGTCAGGTCATGGAAGAAACTCACATCAGGAACCTGAAAGCAGGAACAGGAGCAGAGGCTGTGGAGGATCATTGCTAACTGGCTTGCTCTCCATGGCTTGCTCAGCATGCTTTCCTAACACCCCAGGCCCACCCACCCAGGGGTGGCTCCGCCCACAGTGGACTGGGCCCTCCCACATCAATCATTAATGCCCTACAGACTTGCCCACAGCCCAATCTGATAGAGAGATTTTCTTAATCGGCGTTCCCTCTTCACAGACGCCTGAGCCTAGCTGGAGTCAAGTGGACACAGCACTATCCAGTACACACTGTGCAGCACATAAACACAACATGATCCTCTCCCCAACTGGGCCAGGGATGCATTCACAGTGTGGAGCTCTTTAATTGGCCGACTGATAAAATTATCTCTTTGTCCACGTTCTGCTGAGTCCTGTTACAATGATCAGACTAAGAAGTGGAATTGTTTTTTCTCTCCTGAAGAACTACACACATACACACACACACACACACACACACACACACACACACACACACACACACACACTGTTGGGTGTTTCTTTTGCTTCCCCTCAATTTCTCTAGGTCAAGTTTGCTTCTCGGACTGGAGATATGGCTCAGTGCTTAAGAGCGCTTGCTGTTTTTGCAGAGGACCCTTGTTAAGTCCCAAGCCCTCACATGGTGGCTCATACTCGTCCATAACTCCATTTTCAGGAGATCCCATGCCCTCTTCTGGTCTCCATGGGCACCAAGCATGCACATGGTGTACATACATACATACAAGCACACTCACACACATAGAATAATCTAAAAAACAAAAAGTAAATAATGTGCCCATTAGTGTCCACACCTTTGTTATCTCTGGTGTGAGAAAACGAACTTAAAACCACTGTCTGTGGTTGAGTTTCAAAAGCTGTTTGGTTTTTTAGGTCCCTGAGATAAGCACAGTGGCCTGAGAAAGGTACAGTGCCTTCAAAACCCGAATCATCAAGGACAACAGTATGATGATGGTGCTCACCTAAAATTCCAGCACTTCAGAGCTGGAAACAGAGGCAGAATTCAAGACCAGCCTCAGTTATATGATTATCTACCTCTAAAAACCAAGAGATAAACCAAAAACAAAAAAAAATTAAAAATAGGAAGAAATTTTGATGCACATTTTTGCAAAATACAAATAAATACAAAAGAGAATTACCACAGGAATGGCTGGATCTCATCGTAATTTATTCTGAGGTTATTTAAAAATTGCAGTGAGCCACCACTAAATACCTACCAGAACAGCTTATTAATTCATTAAGTAATTAATAAAAGCTCCACTAAGAAATTAAAAGCTGTTGACAATACTAAATTCTCAAGATCAGGCAAAACACAGAGAGCTCCCATCCATCACTGATAGGAAGACAGCCTGGCACAGCCACTTAGCAAAGCAGCATGGCCTTTCCGATGGATGACTCAGCAATCTCATTGTTGGTTATTTATCCAAAAGAAATAAAAATGCTACTCATACAAAAACCTCTGCACAGATATTTACAGCAGCCTAATATATAATTGCCAAATGTGGAAAGTACCCAAATATTCTTTCACTGGCAAATGACAAATTCTGGAGCATTTATAAAAGGAACGTGAGTCAACAATTTAAAGAAGAAAACAGCCATCGATACAAGAACAAGTCTCAAAATACATTCTAGTGGATGGAAAGAGCCATGTACTCCACAGGCTGCCACTGTACAATTCCACTACATCACATGGTGGGAAAGGCAGACTCACTGGCACAGGCATCGTTTAGCTCCGTGGCGCCCGCACTGGGGTTATGCAGGGAGTGGTGACAAGATGGTATCATGATAGATCATCCCGGGCCGTAAGACTGTTCTGCATTTCAATTGTGGTGATGCTAATTATATGACTATGAACAGTTCACAGCTCAGAACTACAGCTAAGAAAGTTTTAATTTCACCATATGCAAAATTAAAACCTAATCTTCTTAGATCCTCTCTCCAAGTACTAAGCATCCCAAGGATTAGATCCCTCACCACAGCTCTGTTACTATATGAGGAGAGCTATCAGCAGTCTCACCATGGGAAGCTTAGTTGTGCATGAGATTAACTCTTTCCATATAGGTCCATAAAGAGAAATGACGAAAAGAGTACAAATTTTGTAGCTGGTAATTTTTTTTTTTTAATTGCAGCAATTCTCTCCACAAGGAAGAAATTTAGTAAAATTACTGGGGGCTTAAACATTTGGAGAAAACCACCACACGGTAATAGAGGGGAAGAAAAATAACCAAGAGGAAGGAGAAATGGGGTGGAGAAAAATGGGGCTAGGAAAAGGAAGAATAGGGTGCCAAAGAGGAGGGGGAGGAAGAGGAAGAGGAAGAGGACCAGGGGAAGGGGAAGGCAGAGTAAGTAGAGACAGTAGCCTGGAAAGGGAAGATAAAAAACAATCAAATCCTATAAGAAGTGAGGACCATGGGAGAGTTTAGATCTTTGTTATGCAGAATACATTTCCCAGGGCTGTAGCTCTAAAAACCAAAGCAACCAAGTGCCAAGCGGTACTTCTTGGGAAATTGAATTATATTTCTCATATAGTGAAACAAATTATGGAGTGTTCTCACTGCAAAAATATTGTCAATTATTTTCCCTTAGTGCTGGAAGTAAAATACCACTGCCTATCTCAGAAAATGAAATTGTCTAAATGTTCTTTTTATAGATGTCTCAGATGGCAAAAATGTTTCCTCTGGAGATATGAACTTGAAAATGACATTGAAATCAACTTAGAAGACAGGCAAGGATGTGCACAAAGTTACCTATAAGGATAGGATGTCTTAAAACATTGTAACCATACAGTAAGGCCTGAGCGTCTTCATGCCTCAGGAAATAAGCACCACCACCTCCTTCGAGTCATCTTCCATTCCTTAAAAAGGCCTTGGGAATACAAGAGAGACTAGTGAGAACAGCATAACGTAAAGGTTAGCAGACAACATACCAGATTCCCAGGGTTGTCACTCACGGCACTGTTTTCTGGGATGAAGTAAGAATAGACCTCAACTATATACTGTGTTCTCCAGTTTATACATCTTAATATAGCAGAATGTTTATACAAATCACTGACACCTAAAACACAGTTGTCTTCACATGCCTTCCCAGGAGCACTTAACATAAATATTTAAAGGGCTGGGTGCAGCTCAGTTGGTAGGACGTTTGCCTAGCATTCACAGAGCCCTGGGTTTGACCCCTAGCACCACCTAAAGCAGGTGTGGTGATGCATGCCTGTACCCCAACACTAGGAAGCCAGAGATGAGAGGATCCTACGTCCAAGGGCATCCTCAGGTTACACAGTGGGTGTGAGGCCAACCTCCCATATCAGCAAAACAAAACAAAAATCTGTAAAAATTGTTTTGTACCCTTCTTTGTTGAGATAAGATCAGTGCATTAGTTACTTTGTTGCTGTGATAAAATACCATGACCAAAAGCAACTTAGGGGGAAAAAATAGTTTATCTTGGCTTACAGTTCCAGACCGGGAGCCCATAACGTCAGAGATGTGGGAGCTGGCAGTCAAAGCTGGAAGCTAGGAGAAGATGTCTTCAGCCACAAAGCAGAAAGTGAACTGGAAATGGTGAGGCTACAGACGCTCAAAGTCTGTTCTAGTGACGCGCTTCCTCCAGCAAGGCTCCACCTCCTGAGGGTCCATAACCTCCCCCAAATGGTTCCACTAACTGGGGACCAAGCATTCAAATACTTGAGCGTTTGTGATACATGTCCTAATTCAAGTCACCGTCATGTTATGCAGCTCTGGTACTAGTTATGTGGCCCAGGGTGGCCTCAAACTCATGGCAATCTGCTGTGTGCTGACGTTACAGGAGTGTGCCACCACACTCCACTTACATAAAGTTCCTAGACTCACTCACTGACAGTCACCAATCCCCATTCATCCCGGAAAACAGCACATTTGGACATCTCAGAGGCCTCATGCTTTTCCGCCCTTGCTGTCTTCCGGGCTCTCTACCAGTCTCCAGCTGTTGCATGTTAAGCAGGCTCCTCTAGCCCACCTGTCTATCATCATCTCGGGTGCTATGGAAAGCGGGGCCGTTCTCCTTGAGCCTTACTCACCGCTCCCAGCGTGTGCTTTTGCTACTGCGTGACTACCAATGGTTTTCAATCTAGAAGATTTTGTCCTTCCAATTCGACAATATCTGGAGATATTGTGGATGTGGCATTTGAGGCAAGAGTGAGGTACTGATGGCATCTCACAGTGTGGGCCAGGAATGCTGCTAGGGATTCTGGGATGCACCCACCGCAAGGCGTTATTCTACCCCAAACAGCGACAGTGTCCGGGTGAGGAAATCCTGCTCTCGGTCTCTTTTAACATCTTTATGCCTGCCTGGATATATCACTGCATTAGAGATCTTATCTCTTTTTATTGGAGTTTCTGAGCTGGAGATGTTTGGAGCTACTGACGGATGTGATTGGTTCTAGATAAAGGGCTGAGTTCTGTTCTTTTCTGAAAGGTGCTAAAAATACAACATTGGGTTCACACTTGTAGGCACAGAGATAATTTCTGGTAGTGAGATGGAAATGAGGGGTGGATTAAATTCCATCCGAACTGAGAAGGTACCAGTGACTGAGACTACTGCTCTGACAAGGGTGCAAATGGGGTGGCCATGTACTGGAATTGAGAATGTCTCTACCACTCATGTACCCGAGTCTCTGTGACAGACACAGCAGCAGATGGGTCACTCTCCCACAGCCATGAGAAAGGAGACAATCTAGCCTGAGTCTAGGGACAGAAATGGGAAAACGATGTTGCTTTAGGAACACTGCCGTGACTTCGCAGCGCTTGAGGAACCGTTCAGAGGGCTGAAGATGATCCTCCGAAGAACGATGTTGCTTTAGGAACACGGCAGTGACTTCACAGCGCTTGAGGAAACGTCCAGAGGGCTGGAGATGACTCTCAGTGGTTAAAAACATTGACTGCTTTCCCAGTACCCACACCGCAGATCACAACTGTCTATGCCTCCAGTCCCAAGGGATCCGACCCTCTACCAGTACTGCACACACTAGGGGTGTGGACATATGTTTCAGGCAAAACATCCACGTACATAAAATAAAATAGATAAAAAGGAAAGTCTAAGGGCCAGAGAAATAGATCAGCAGGTAAAGTGCTTGCTTCTAAGTTGGACGACTTGTTCAATCCTCTGACCCACACGGTGGAAGGATAGAACCACCCCTACAGGACTTCTGACCCCCACATGCACATCTCGGCATGTTCATGACCAGGCACCTGTGTGCCCCTCCCCCCATTTTACATTTAAATAAATACATGTAAAAAGATTAAAGACCATGTTAAGATAATGTGTCTGTATTTGGAAAATTTAATTGGCCACATTAAGTTTTGTGTTATAGTTGTTCAAAGTTTTGTGAATATTTGGGGAAAACCAGATTAAGGATTAAATGGGTCTAAAGTTGCATACAAATAAAAGTGTGAATTTCTGCATATACACAACACATTCTCCATCAAGCTGAATATTTAACAAAATGCCATGTGGATTATAATCCGAGTCTTGGATTAAGACTCGGATTATAAGGTCGTAATAAAAGAGAAAATCCATGGAGAAAAAAAAATGCATTGGTTGGAGAGGAGCAAGTTAGCTCTTCATTGAAGTCATTGTCCCCACTCCCTCCTCATGCAGTCATCCTAGCCCCAGTCAGCCTGAAGAGAGTCACAAATGGAGACTGGCCAGAGCTAAACAGTTTTTGTCACTCAAAACAAACAACGACAGCAACAACAAAGAGATCTCATGTTGGGGCTGGAGAGATGGTTCAGGGATTAAGAGCACTGGCTCTTCCTCCAGAGGACCGAGGACGTAGTTCAATTCCCAGCAATGGCAGCTCACAACCATCTGTAACTCTAGTTCCAGGGGATCCAGTGTTCTTGTCTGACCTCTGTAGGCACCGGACATGCACACAGTTCACAGACATGCAGGCAAAATACTCATGCACATAAAGCAAAATAAAAACAGGAGTCTATGTTTAAGAATTAGACTTCCCGGGTTCAAGTCCACGGTCCCACCATTTAATCACAGTATCCTTTATGTAAAGTATTAATTTACTCAACTAATGACTTGTCTCATTCATTTATAAATGAATATAACAACCCTACGGAGTTGTTATAAAGACTGAATGAGGTAAACCCTTTAAAGGCTTCCCATGATGGGGAAAGTTTTCATTATCGCTGGTTTGATTTTGCTTGAAGGTCTAGGTAGGGGGTCAAGCCCAGGGCCTTGAACATGCCAAGCAGGTACCCTCCCACTGAGCTATATAACTCCAGCAACAGTTCCATTCTTATATTATCCTGACACTGAGGCATCCCTCCCTACCCAATAGGACAGACAGGATTGTTGCTCCTTTAGATATGTTATAGGCCCAGTCCTGAGCATCAGGAGACAAACTAGCCCCAAAATTCCAGAACTTGCCTTTGACTTCAGCAAACTGCAAAGGAAAGACAAAGCCAGCACTGGTAAAATGTTCTGTGTCACGAACTCATTTCACAAACACAAAAATCAGCAGGATTGACAAGAAACCCTAATGTACTCCGTTGAGTTCTGTTTAATAAACATTCTTAGTTATTTGTTTTTCATTGTTGGTTATGTGTATGTGTGGGTATGTACACATGAATGTAGATGCCTAAAGAGACCAGAGGCATCTACATTCCATCTGAAGCTGGAATTAGAGATAAGTGTGAGCCATTGTGGGTGCCAAGAACCAAACTCGAGTTCTCAGAAAGAGCAGTGTTCTCTTAACAGCTGAGCCATCCCCCCAGTCATGATGCTCTAGTCTAAAACAGAGAAACTTCTTTTAGGAAACCAAGCAAGCAGAACTTGGTTAACTTAATAGGGTTGAGAATTCCTCGTCCATCCCAGTCTGAAATTTTCTGAGTAACATGGAAAGTTCCATTGTTATGCTTTGCCTCATGCAGTTTTCTGAAATATTATAAAGTTTGCCTCCAGCTTACACACATAAGGAGTATATAGAACATACGTAAATTTTGTGCCTAAGCTTAAGTCTCATCTCTGAGAGGTCTTATTATGTACATGGAAGTACTCTAAAAATCCAAGTATATAAATACTTTTTAAAATCCGTAACCTGAATCATTTTTTTCTGTATTATTGTAACCCCTGACTTTAATTTGGAAACAATTTGTTTTTTTTTGTTTTTTTTTTTTTTTGGTTTTTTCGAGACAGGGTTTCTCTGTGTAGCTTTGCGCCTCTCCTGGAACTCACTTGGTAGCCCAGGCTGGCCTCGAACTCACAGAGATCCGCCTGGCTCTGCCTCCCGAGTGCTGGGATTAAAGGCGTGCGCCACCACCGCCCGGCAATTTGTTTTGTTACATATGCCCATGACTTACATGCAGGTCAGTTGCATGACAGGGTTTGGAAGTTACCAGTTCAGGAAATTACCTGAAGCTTTATTAAATGCTGATAAAAACACCTACTAACAAGTCTGCATTTAAGCACACCACCTTAAAGAGGATTCTTTCCAACTTTTGACAATACTTTCCCACACCTAAGCCAATTTGTGACATTTGGGCTGCAAGTGCAGACAAAACAGACTCTGTCTGATGGCCACAGACGGTCTGCAAACAGGTCCCTTCTGAAAACAATAATGATTTTCAGAAGCAAAATTGGTCTGAATGAGAACCAAAGAAGTTGATTTGCTCCTAAAGCAAAGCAGGCAACAGACAAGTGGGAATGGGAAGTGCTCCTTCCTCCGACCTGACCCCCCTTATTTCCTTACTATTTATTTTACTATCACTGTTGTTTGACTTGTGTTTAGACTGGGTCTCGCTACATAGCCAGTGCTAACCTGGACAGCTTGTGATCTTCTTGCCTCAGCTTCCCCAATACTAGGATCAAAGCCTACACTACCACACCCATTTTCTCCCATCTTTTAAGTATGCAAGTATGCACCTGGGGTGTGTCTGAGCTAGGTTACTTGCATTGCTAAGTGGAGGGCTGGTAAGGATGAGCTATATATAGTGACTCACTGGGAGCCCTGAGCAGGGAGGTATAATACAAGCAGAGAGAAACATCTGGTAGACCAGGCTATTTAGATCTTACTAGGCACAGAGGTAGGGCCTTTGGAGATTTTTTTTGGTGCTGTTTGTTTTGTTTTGTTTTTGCTCTGCATTTGCTTTTGCATTGTTTTGGCAAAGCGAGAGGTTCCATGGTCCAAGGATACTTGCTACACCCTGAACTGGATCAAAATTTTTGATTTTTCTACAAATGTAATTTCTACCAACACTTACTTTTAAGATAAGGAACAGTAAGTCAGTTGAAGAAGGAGGTAGGGCCATGGGCCGAGGAATCCTAGTCAGTCTCTAGCTGGTGGTAGATAGGATGATTAGTAGTCCTTCAGTGGACAGTCCTGCAGCATCTGAGGCCCTGCTGCACATCATTGGTGTACTATGACTTCAACAATGAGTTTCTGTGGCACAGAACTCCTGAGCTACTCCATTTTAGCTTTGTGGTGTTTAACTGCACTGCTTTTTCTATTCAAATCTCTTAGACTGTGTTCTTCATGTACTATATATAGCCAAATGTGGAAGGAAGTCTTGTTTTGTAACCTGTCCTGAATTACGGCTACACTAACGTAGTCGTTCCATAGGGCGTTCACAGCTGGCGAGTCCTGGCTCCATTCTTGTCTCAGTACTAGGAGCAGCACTGTTGATGACAACCTGGTTATGTGAAATGTTTTCATCAAGTGTGAGTCTTCTGAAAACCATTTCGGTAGTGAATGGCCAGCAAATGTTGCCAAGACACACAAACATCACTGGCTCGGGGCGGTGCTCAGCCATCTTCTCATGTGGAGCCTTCCCACTTCTGACGAGGGAAGTTCAGCCTGTGGGAGCAGCCCATCCAAAGGTGAAAGATTAAATAAAGAATCTTTAGATGCATTCTGTTTAAACCAGGACTCAGGTTTACCCAATATCTGCTTATTCTCTGTTAGTATAGTAAGAGTCTTAACCAAAATAAAAATGCAAGGAAAATAATGACAAGCATGAGAACTGGAAAGAACAAAGCAAACAGCGTTGATGCCACAAAATCTTTTTTTAAGATTTATTTTTAAATTAGGTATAAGTGTGGCTGTCTGAATGTGGGTTTGTGCATATGAATGCAGTGTCCACAGAGGCCAGAACATGTTGGATTGCCTGGAGCTGAAGTTATAGATGGCTATGAGCCACTCAACGCTGGGAACTGAACTCAGTTCTGAAGAGCAGCAAGCACTCTTAACCTCTAAGCTGTCTCTCCAGGCTCCAGGGAGTTTTATCAGAGAGGTACTTAACCCATTCAGTGCCAGCTCAGCACATAACCATACCAGCAGTCCCCAACACAGTAACCACGTACTAGAAAACAGCCAAAGTGCAATACCCTGGTCAACGGTAATAAAACTAAAAGGTAGAGGAACTAACTAAGCTACATGTTTATTAAGGATGCTCTTGAACTCTATGAAGGACTGAAAAAATGAAGACAGAACCACATGCAAGGGCGACCAACACAAGAGCATAAAGCAGCTTCTCCCTGGACATAGACACTCCTCAGTTATAGAAAATATCTATAATTTCTTTATGATACTAATGGACTATGAGAGACTGACAGGTATTCTCAAATTTAGATGAAGGGGAAAACACCTTGGAATAACTTACACCATTTTGGAAACCAATAAGAAAGATATATGACTAATGGTTGTCTACACTGCAACCCTTTCGTGTTTCTCATTTGCAGAGCTCCAGTTTTGCTCCCAGTCAGCCCAGTGACTTAATTATCCTACTTCCCGGGTACATCCTAATTGATCTTAGGCAAGTGTCATGGCCCGATGACCTTTGCCAGTTTGGGGTTAGATGTGACATGTGATGTTGACATGGGAGGGAAGGCTTGCCAAAGGCTTTCTAGAAAGGTCCCTTCACTCTTAAAAAGACAACCCTTCTCCTGATGAAGTGGTCTGGTCTATCCTGATCTGTTTTATGCTATGGCTTAGAACCATTTTTAGCCCGGAAGAGAAGCCAGCATGCCAATGATGGCTGAATAGGAAAGTGGGCATTGTGGGGAGCCGTGGAGCCTAGTCTCGGATCAGCATGTGTCCAATGGGTTTCCTAGGGGCAGGGCACCCATGGAAACCGATTCTCACCTGGCAAGGACTAGTAGACCACGGGACAGCATAGGAATTTGCAAAATTCTTGCAAATTTTGAGTTCTCTTCTCTCTCATTTTGTTGTTGATTCTTTGGATGGTTTTTAGTTTTGTTTTATCAGTCCCATATGCAACAGTTTTAATTTTCCCTGGAAATTCTGTACTTTCTCAAATATTTCCCCCTAAGATTCAAAAGGGCCCTAATGCTTCTCAAATTTCTTATCTGGAATTACTAACTACAACTCCAAATCCTGACTCATTAGAGACAGTTGGGTACATTTGAGAAGACAACACTCGTAACATTAACCATGTCTCACAGTTCTGGAAAAGAGAATAAGGCATGCACACACAGAATAGGGAAAAAGCCTCAGGAATACATAGTGCCAACTGTTGAGAGTAAGTTCTCTGGACACTAATCATATAGCATCAATGGTAGGATCTAGTATGATCCAATGAGAAAATGCAATGTAAAACATGGGATGGATAGATTCATCTATATTATACACAGGAGCTTATATTGATAAAAGAAGTATGGTGTAGTGGGATGGGAAAAGAGTGCCTTATCAAAGTCTGCCTTTTATAGAGAGATTGAGACATGGGACCCTCTTGTAGAAAAGTATAGTTGTTTTTGTTTTTGTTTTGTTTTTTTACTCTTTGCTCTTGGGGAACCCACCACTCAGCTCCCAAATAAATACACAGAGACTTATTCTTACTTATGAATGCCTGGCCTTAGCTTGGCTTGTTTCTAACCAGCTTTTCTTAAATTATCCCATCTACTTTTTGCCTCTGAGCCTTTACTTTTATTTATTCTATATATCTTTCTTTACTTCTTACTCTGTGGCTGGCTGTGTAGCTGGGTGGCTGGCCCCTGTCACCCTCCTCTCCTTCTCCTTTTCTCGCTCCTCCCTGTAGCTGGAAGTTTTCCTGTGTCCCGCCCAGTCCTGTAGTTACTCGCCCAAATGGCTGGCTTTGCCAAAATGAAAGCAAACTCCATATGGAGTTTCTTTGATGCCCATCCTCCTTTTATGAAGTAAATTGGTGCTGCTAGGAGCAGACATGTCTCACTGTCATGAAAAGCCCCATGTTAACAAAATATTTTAAATACCATATTCTGTAGTTAGAAGTTTTCCTGTGTCCTGGTCAGCCGGCAGTTGGGACAAATCTCTCCCACTCATATCCTCCAAGTAAACACACAGAGGCTTATATTAATTATAAATGCTTAACCATTAGTTCAAGCTTATTCCTGACTAGCTCTTACACTTAAATCAACCCATAATTCTTATCTATGTTTAGCCACATGGCT